AAGGACCTGTCTGTCTGTTAATTAAATGCCGTAACATCTTTGGTTCGGAGTGTGTTGGTGTGGGGCGAGGGGGTTCAGAACACATATAGAAGCTGACGATAGATATAGATAGATAGATAGATAGATAGATAGATAGATAGATAGATAGATAGACAGACAGACAGACAGACAGATAGGGGAAATTTGCCCCGGGATGGAAATACCTGAGGCTCTTCGATCGCCATTCGGCACATCTCTTCAGGGTCTAGCTCCACCGGATCATAACCCAACTTCGCTTTGGCGGCTGCTTTTAAATTGTGGCTGCCCACTGGGAGGTAACTGTCTCTCTTCACCCACCTGCCAAGAGGAAGGAATCACAGCACTGAAATCGGGTTTCTGCTGCCCCAGCAGTATATAGCTAGCGCAGGAATTAAGAACTGTCTCCTTTAAGAAACTACCTTATGGGAAATGTAGTTCCATGACATGTGATCACATCTCTGTTTATGATTGGCCCCCGGGGCATCTTGCCCACCTGGAAAGTTTATAGCCAGGGCAGTTCAATTGCTTTTGTGAACCGGAATAGTAGCATTCTACATCTCTGCTCAGCATGGGGATAAAATCATCATCTTTTTACACTACGTGATGGGACAGATCACGGAACGTCAGAAGAATCTTAACACTGAACTGTAAGTTTTGCTTTTAAGGATGCCTGATAATAAATGTGGTCTAAAAGAGATTCCTAAACGTGGAGTTAACTGGCTGCCCGAGCAGAACCTCATTGCCCGGGGGCAGAAGAGGGTTGTTAATAAATCAGGGGAGACAACAAAGCTGGCATGGGAGGGGGGGGAGAAAGGGGGGGTTCTGGAGGGGAGCCAGGACCAAGCCAAGCTTCAATCGGAGTTAAATATAAAATTGGGCCAGTCTCTCTGCACCCCCACTGCACCCCATAGCAATAGCATTTATCTCAATAAATGTTCTGACCGAGGCTTCCCGAGAGCCTGAAGCCGACTCCTTGTCCCGAAAAAAACCCCTTGTATTAATTAGCTGTGAATTCTGCTCATTCATGTCCAGCAAAGTCTTTCGAGGGAGGATTTACAGTCACAGACCTCATCTGGCTTGGAGAGCTGCCAGCCCTTACCGGAGACAATCCATGTGGATGCACTGCGAAGATTTGTATTCTCCCTGGCTGTCTTTCTGGAACCCAATCTCCTGCTGCATATTCATCCCGTGGACGGCTGCTCTGGCTTCCACAAAAGGCCTGGAGACAGGGGGACAGTTGAGCCGCAGAATCAGACAAGGTCTATGGCAGGGGCTCTCCAACCTTGGCCACTTGAAGACGTGTGGACCAACTCCCAGAATTCCTCAGCCAGCTAAGGGCTCTCCAACCTTGGCCACTTGAAGATGTGTGGACTTCAACTCCCAGAATTCCTCAGCCAGCTGGCTGAATTCTGGGAGTTGAAGTCCACACATCTTCAAGTGGCCAAGGTTGGAGACCCCTTGGTCTATGGCGCTGAACGCAGCAATGTGATCACAAACATTTTCATCCCAAGCACACACACAAAAAAAGGAAAGGCCACTCAGTTCCTCTGTGCCAGGGGTGTCGAATTCAAGGCCCGTGGGCCAAATCCGGCCCATGGGGTCAGCCTGGAAACAGCAAAGAACCGGCCTACGGTGCCTCTGCCAGCAAGAATGGGGCGGTGGGGGGAGCTCTGTTTTCCCTGGCAGAGGGCTATCAAAACAAACTAAAGATAAAACAGAAGGAGAAACGTTTGCCCCTTGTGCATTTGAGCGTGCAGGAAGGGACAGGAAAGGAGGAAGAGAAAGAGAAAAGAGAAAGATGGGAAGAGAGCAAGGAAGGAAAAAGGAGAGGGGAAGGAAGAAGAGAGGAGAATGAAGAGGGAAGGAAAAAGGAGAGGGGAAGGAAGAAGAAAAAAGAATGAAGAGGGAAGGAAAAAGGAGAGGGGAAGGAAGAAGAAAAGAGAATGAAGAAGGAAGGAAGGAAGGAAGGAAGGAAGGAAGGAAGGAAGGAAGGAAGGAAGGAAGGAAGGA